AACACCATAACCGTTCAATCGTAGCTCCTAAATCTTAGTGACTCCTACACATTTAAACTGCATAGAGACAAGATTAATGTGTCTCCCCCTTTTCACATTGATGTATCGTCTGTTGAGAGCGAGAAGGGGGTTAAGTCTATATTAAATGATGAGTTAAGGCCCTTCTTGCGCTCATGAAGCTGACAACATTGATTCAAAATGCCAAGGTCTTGTGTGATGAGCAAAACCTTCAGCAGTCTCTATTCTTTCCGACTAGGTTTTATACTTTCATCTTGATCTCTTAGACATTCTGAATGACATCCACAATGTCAGTGATTCTCTTATTGAATAAAGGAATTTCTTTTCCTAGATGCCCCCCCCCTGCCCCTGCCCCTTTTCCGATCAACCTGCCCCTCTCTCTTAAATAATCTTGACATATATAGTTAACAGCTGAATTATTCATACCCCTTTTCAATTTGATGTGTTTTTTGTAAAGTCAAGAACAAAAGGTGAGAATACTTTTAGATGTAAGTTTCATATGTCACATTCTCAAGAAACATAAATTGGGACAAATCAAATTTTCAACAAATTTTAAAAATTACAAAAATTGGTATTAGGGTGTGAGTAATTTATTAACTGTATCTTCTCTATATCATATCTCATCTAATGGCATATGGTCATGGAGCATTTCAAATGAGTAAACAGAGCATTCAAAATCATATTTATGTCATGCATCATGATGTAGAAATATGAATGCAGTGAGCGATGCTATGAAAATGCACACTTTTACACAATGCTTGGGTCCTGGCACTTATCAAAATCAAGAACGTAAAGAAAAACTACTGATGAAAAAGAAAAATATTCATTTTCATCATGGTCTCTATGAATAGACATATTTGAAATATAACCAGTGCTTCGATATGATTTATTTCATTCACCTGTTACAAATAATTGTATTTCAAATTTTGAATAGTCAGAATGCAAACTGCATATATTACGTGTTGTTAGGCAGGGCAAGCCTTTTGTAACAGGTACAGTGGCGGATCCAGGGGGGGGGGCACAGGGGGCATGTGCCCCCCCCCCCCCCCCCGGCCAAAGAAAATATGTTAAAATCAGCCCTAAATTCACCCAAAATGTACTGAAAAACAGGGGCGTGCCCCCCCCCCCCCCCCGACCAATTTTTTTTTTTTTTGGTGTGTGACCTCTTACCCCCCCCCCCCCCCCTGCTTATTCAGCGGCTGGCTGAGTCATTGCGATTTTTTGGGGACTAAACAAAATATATATATGTGTTCTCTTTCCCACAGGGTGCCCCCCCCCCCCCCCCCCCCCCCCCCAAATCAAATCAAGGTTTCCATGCAACTTTACCATTAATTGCAAAGTTACCATCAATGCTCAGTTTTAAGCAATGGAGGGTAGAAGTTTTAATACCAGCTTAAAGGTGTACATGTATCTTATATGAAATGCAATGTTTCATATGAGAATGATGCTTACAGCCTAGTGAGCCTACTATAGATGTTTTGAACTGCATGCTTTGGTGCAAGCTGATGATAATGGCATATATTAGGTTAATTTGTAATTGAAACGGTAATGCAATACAGCATGCACTTTGTCCATGCTGGTACATGTAGCATGATCAAGCTCTTCAGTATAATTATCAAACACAGCAATTCTATTACACATGTAAATATTAGATTATAAGACTTACATTTCTAAATGGTAAAATATTTCCTCCGATGTTCTTTACAAACAATTTTCAAACGATTTCCAAATTAAATGCATTTGCTACCAGGGCACCAACATTTTTAAGTGTCAAACACTTCTTTTTTTCTACACAAAAATTCTTTTCCAATTTTCATGTTTTCTTTCTTTCCTTTCTGGAGGGGCTACGTATAATTAATTTAATGATGATGGGACCAGAAAAAATAATAGATTTGGAGGTACCCTAAAAATAAAGGGTCTCTAGCATAAAGTGTCATCCAGTGACATACAGATATATATATCTTTATGTCAGTATATTAATTCCAGGCGAAGTAGCAAACTGTGCTATAAAGACCGGCTGTACTACTTTGGCAGGGAGGGATTAGACTATCTCATCAACTCGGCTCTCAATTAACATAAGAAAAAGAGGATCATGGGGCACCAATGGTCACCGATTAGGCATTGTTTTCTACATAGAGGGAGCAAGTAGCTATAAGTAGTACAGAGGGGCTTTAAATGAAAAACATAACTTGTCATAGACTCACCTTAGGCTTCATGGTGTGAAACTTGGGCGCTTCCCAAAGATGGCTTCCGGGGACAGAGTAGCCCTGGTTATCAGTAACCGTTGCTGGCCTCCGCAGAGTGGCTAGACTCTCGTCACTAAAAGATCGCTTGATGTTGATGGGCTCTGCATATTCTCCCATGATAGGCGACAGGTTTGTCCTCTGTGTCTCCTGCATATTCCTACGTTGCGCCCTAGGTGAGAGGTTTCCGATCAAGGCACTGTCGGTCATGCGCCGCTGCGTCTCCGGAGAGATGCAGCCTGAGTCGTTGAGCGGCGACGTGGGTGGTGATAACAGCCTGGCCTTCTCCTTTGCAAAAGTTTCAGAGGATATTACATTGACGCTAGGTGGCTGATGTCGTTTTGGGGTGCGGCTGGGGGGTTGTGGTGGGGTTTGGGGGATTTGAGGGGGTGGGGAGGTGGGGTGGGTCTTGGCCTGGGTAGGTGAGGAAGAGGTCATCCTATGCCTCCGACCCCCAGGGGACTTGAGCATATTCAAGAATGATGACTGGTTGTTGTTGTCGATGACTAGAGGATCAAAGACACGCTTCCCAGGTATGGGGAAGAACTCTCCTGACACCTCCTCGTACCCTAGATAGCCATTCGAAAGGCCAGTGTCTTCCGTTTCGACATTGTGGTTGCAGTTCCTACTGGGTTCTATTGGGTTTCTACTGGTGTTCTCAGGATTGACCTGATAGTATTCAGGAGGTAAAATGGCTCTCCTTGCACTCTTTGTTCTTGGCACTGGTTCGGGTGCTTTGATCTCCTTCAAGGCATCTCCATTGGACAAGCAATGTTTCAACCGCAATGCTTTACTCTTGTTGTACACATCCTGCTCGTAAGTTCGCTTGGGCTTTGTCAGCCTGGTTATGGACGGTTTCTCACTTTCCTCATCTTCACCGTTCACTATCACTATCACCTGCGGCTTTGTTTTACTTTCCTGTAATTTACTCTCATCGTAAATATCTTGTTCAAAGGTCCTTCCTGGTTTATGGGGACCAAGATCTCCTTCATGGGGAACAGGTTCTGGTCTACAGGGAACCCAATCTTCTTTATGGGGAACAGGATCTCCGTTACGGGGAGCAGGATCTCGTTTACTGGGAAAAGGATCTCGTTTACTGGGAACAGGATCCGGTTTACAGGGAACAAGATCTCCGTCATGGGGAGCAGGATTTCGTTTACTGGGAACAGGATCCGGTTTACTGGGAACAGGATCTCCGTTATGGGGATCAGGATCTGGTTTAGTGATAACAATATCTGGTGAGGAGCTGCCATCGCTTCTATGTCTGGTGCTGTTCCGACTAAGATCAATTGCAACTATCTCAAACTCCTTCACCAAGCTGTCCATACTACGAGACATTCTATTCTTCTGGAGCGGAGAAGGCGTCAGACGATCAGGGTCCCTCCGTGACAAGGACATTGTCCCGTTCGATGACGTAGACTCACTGGTCTCACTGATTGTTCGTACCCTTCCACTCTCTGGAACCGTCAGCATCTTTGACTTCCGTTCAACAGCCACAGTGGACTTGCCATTCTCAAAGGCACTCACAAGTGCCAGCACAGAGTTCCTGTTCTTCTCGTCTCTCTTTGCTCTAGCATCGTCTCCTGTCACTGTCAGTGGTCTTTCTCGTTTCGCCTGGACCGCTGGCTTTCCGTTGACCAAAGGTTCTGACGGTGGCACTTTGATCTCCACCTTTCCTCTCCTTGGTGATAGCAGAGGCTTCGGCGGAGGCGGCAACACAGGACTTCTCTTGTGTCCAGGATGCATGGTGTGCTGCGCGTGCCTCTGACGGGAGACTTCCTTCCGACTGCCCAGCTCCTCGTTGGTGAAGTCCAGTTGCGTCCAGCGCTTCTGTTCCGGGCTGATAACCCTGGGCTGCCTGCACCGAAAGCCATTATTGGTGTCTTCTCCTTTGCTTTCATCTGTAGAAACAGTACAAAAAACAAAAAAAACAAAAAAAATATTGCTGAAATGCATCAATTAATATCATGTTATTCTAAAGTCACAAATAAACAACAAATATTGGTAGTATTTTTTTTAATAAATATTATTTCAAGAATGTTATGACAGAAACAAAATTGTAAGTCTTTGCCTGTGTCCCAGTTCTCATGAAATATTAAAGAATGGGAAAAAAGTGCACATAAACATACTTGTTTAGTTGCTTGTCAAAGAATTTTCAAAATTGTGCCCCCCCCCCTTTAAAAAGTAATGGATCTGCCCCTGAAAGGCAGCCCGAAGCAAAACTTACCTAGCTAGAAAAAATAGGGCAAATCAAGGGTTCAGTGACACAAAGACGTAACTCAATATTTTTCCAAAATGAGTGTTTGATATCAAAATGTTCAGAAAAATGTGAGCTTTCAAGGAAACACAAAGACCCAACTCCACCGAACACCCCATTAAAGTCAATGGCTAGTGGAACATAGACTCAACTCCTTAGGCCCAAGTGCTCAGAGACATATAAACCACTTTTTCTCAAAATGGAGTTACGTCTTTGTGTCACTAACCCCCCTCTAAATACAAACCTTTTGATTTGGGGGAGGTCAATTCTTCAAAGAGATGGATCCTCTTCCTGAGCTGGCCTTCCTCAAGTTTGAGCTGCAGGGTCCGGGGGCGGGCCTCCGGTTGGGCAGGGAGCTGCTGCGAAGGCCTGTGATTACGGGCTACGGGCTGTGGGGATGTCATCACAATAACCCCTATGTCAGGTAGACCTCAGTCAATGGAGAATGGAATCATACTGAATGGCTACTGCATCCTTACCATCTGGACACAGGAAAGAGAAAGGAAAGGTAGTGTTATTAAGAGAGAACTTAAAGGGAGTGCAGCTTGGCAAATACTGGTTAACACCATCTACGTTTTCTTGTGGACAACTACACGTAAACGATTGGACTTGATTAATGGTAGTCAGCGACTTAATCTCTACATGGCAAGCGTTCGCGAAACAGACCAAAGCTCTCCTCACGCTTCGGTTTAAAGTATGTTGCACGCAAGTGATTGCTGCGGTCGGTCATCCGTAGTCATATTATACCCGATTGGCCCAGAGTCAGGCCTCGGGAAAGACACGTAGTCTCGTCAGGCTACCCTCCCTTTAAAACCGTCCTTCCCCTGCCCCTGTAAGCTCAATTACAAGCATACCCATGCTTTCTTTAATAGCAGTCAGGTAAAACAATCACACAAACAAATAATGGCATTACAGAATCAAAGGACCCCAATTATTATTGAACCTAACTGCGAAATGTGGAATGATAGTCCCTTCTGGCTCTGAATCTACTGAGTTGTTGGAAAGAGGAAACCACTGTGATTATCAGATGATTAATCTAATTGGTATCAGTCTGGTTTACAAGCAGCTAATCAAGCATGAACTCTTCTTAAAGGGAAATTCAACCCTGGAATCATGTTGATTTGATTAAAAGCAGAAGAAGAAGAAATTGAGGGTTCAGTGACACAAAGATGTAACTCCATATTTTGCCAAAGTGAGTACCATACCTTTAAGGCCCAACTGCTCAGTGACACATAAACCACTTTTTCTCAAAATGGCCAAAATGGAGTTACATCTTTGTGTCACTGACCCCTCGAAATGTGGGAAAGAGATCGTGAAGGTTGTAGGAAAAATCTGGATAAGATTGTTATGAATTTTAAAGTTTTAATTGATCAAGCACAACATGATCCATTTAATTTTTCTGCTTATTCAATTGAAATTACAACAAACTTGTAACCAAAGATGAATTTTCCCCTTTAAGGCTTCATGTGTAGTATTGTGAACGAAGGAATTCCCTGATAAAACAGATTTTTAGATTTCCTATTGAAAGGGACTTTGACTTTGTAAAACCAACTTAATAAGACTTAAGACTTCATGTGTAACCTGGAAATCAACTGACCGATAAAAATGACCGGTGGCCTCTCACAGATATACCCGCATAGTCTACCCACTGAAAGGGACTTTGTAAAACCAACCTGTTACCAGAAATAGATTTCCCTTACAGGCTTCATGTGTAAAAGGGAAATCAACTGACTGATGAAAATGACAAGTGGCCTCTCATAGATTTACCCACATACAGATTTCCCATTGAAAGGGACTTTGACTTTGTAAAACCAACTTCTTGGTAAAACCAACTTGTTAGTCATTACCAGAGATAAAATTCACTGACCGCTAAAGAGTGATCACTGGCCTGTCATAGAATTGCAGATTTCCCATTGGGCATTGTAAGGGGCTTAGAGTTTGTAAAGCGTATCACAAGAATTCCACGACAGAGACACGTATGGTGCAGGGACTTTGACTTTGTTAGATAATACCAGAGATACATTTTCCTATAAGTGGCAATTCACTGACCACTAAAGAGTGACCACAACCCTCTCACAGAATTTCAGATTTGGGCATTGTAAGGGACTTAGAAGTTTTTAAAGCGTATCACAAGAATTCCATGACAGAGACACGATGCAGAGACTTTGACTTTGTTAGACCAACTTGTTACCAGAGATACATTTCCCTTTAAGTGGCAATTCACTGACCGATTATTAAGAGTGACCACTGGCCTCTCACAGAATTGCAGATTTGGGCATTGTAAGGGGCTCAGAGTTTGTAAAGCCTATCACAAGATTTCCATGACTTAGACACGACGGTGTTGTGATTATTATAAGGTTTCCTTGGCAATTTACTGACCGCTATAAAAGAGTGACCACTGGCCTGTCACAGAATTGCAGATTTCCCATTGGGCATTATATTGTAAGGGGCTTAGAGTTTGTAAAGCGTATCACAAGATCATTCCATGACAGAGACACGGTGGGTGTTGTGATTATTATAAGGTTTCCTTGGCAATTCACTGACCGCTATAAAAGAGTGACCACTGGCCTGTCACAGAATTGCAGATTTCCCATTGGGCATTATATTGTAAGGGGCTTAGAGTTTGTAAAGCGTATCACAAGATCATTCCATGACAGAGACACGGTGGGTGTTGTGATTATTATAAGGTTTCCTTGGCAATTCACTGACCGCTATAAAAGAGTGACCACTGGCCTCTCACAGAATTGCAGATTTCCCATCGGGCATAAATGGTAAGGGGCTTAGAGTTTGTAAAGCGTATCACAAGATCATTCCATGACAGAGACTCGGTGGGTGTTGTGATTACAAATAAGGTTTCCTTGTATTAGTCATTTGTGTAATAGAAGACCACTATCAGGTAGGTCCATGCATGTACCTGTCGGACTCAATCAAGAAGTCTCAATCACCCCTATTCATGGATTCAGAAAATGGACTTTTCTCTTTGTCATAATACAATTTGATTGCCAGTATCATTTAAAAATAGTGCTAGATCATGTCTTGGTATTTTAATAGCGACTAAAGTTTGTTTTCTTGTACAAATATTTATCTAAAATTAATATTGTTGTTTTGATATCCATATAGACTGAACATTGTATCATTAGGCCTGTTTTCATCAGCTTGAGTTTGCCAAATAACCCCCTATTTTAACTTTCCCGATCGCAAATTAGCCACTTAGTTTACATCTTCATTGGCCTGCAGTTGCAATTAGCGGCATATGTTTGAGAAAATATCCTGAGAAATCTTGGGCTTGTTTCTAAAATATCCCGCTATTTGGGAAATAGCAGGCTAATTTGCCCCTTCTGAGCTAGTTTGTGGTGAGCGTATCGGTCTAGTGAAGACGCAATTTTGAGCTTCAGGATAATATCCCAAGTCTGAAAATAGTGGCTTATTTGGCAAACTCAAGCTGATGACGACAGCGGCCTTATGATACAATGTTCAGTCTTTATGGCTATCAAAATGAGCTATTAATTTTAGATAAATATTTGTACAAGAAAACAAACTTTAGTCGCTATTAAAATGCCAAGACATGATGGCACATGTTCGAAAACGATACTGGAAAATCAACTTGTATTATGATATTAATAAATATATTGCACAAACAGATTTTATATAAAAGAGCTTCCTTAAAAAATTGTTACTATTTACCAAATGTAGTTGAGTGTTATTACAATTGGAATACAAATTATATTTGCTATTATCATGTTTATCATTTTACGTGCAATGGTATGGCCAAGATATTATATGTATGACAAATTAACATACTCAATGTAAACTATCTCTTATAAATTTGTTGTTTGTATATAATTGAGGAAACCATGTTTGAAGGGTAAATATAGTGAAAAAATATCATTCAATGTTTATTTTCACGAGTTTATCCTTCAGATACTACAGATCTACATTCCTTTTGCTGATTGGTGTTTCTTCATATTCATGGGCAGTCCACTGAGTCCAGTATATACATGTATGCTCATTCGGGGTCCCATATAATTACCAAAATACCAAAAGTAGAGAAAACTGAGGAAAAATCTAGCATCGTAGGAGTCATTTTCCTAGTTATTTAGTAAGATGCAGAGCTATAAATTTGACCGAAAAATTAGGTATACCGCCGTACTGAAACTTTTAGATGTTTGCGTGGTACTGAATAAAATACTTTGTTTCTTCGAATAATTTTACCTCCGGTGTGAAAGACCCTCTGGTATTTTCATGTTAACCTTGCCCAACAGGAAATAATTGTTTGATGTGAAAGCTTCGCTGAAAACCTGAGGTAAACTTTTGTATTCGTCAAGGACATGACATGATCCACACATTATCAAAGTGAAAGATGTATTGATAATGGTAAACTAAGAATTAAACAGCACATATCTGCCTCATATATACAACAATATGGTTCAAATTACTCGCCTGTCAGTGAACGTGTTATTAATCATAATTTGCATTTCAAAATGCAGGTAGCCCGGCTATTGTGTATGCTCCTTTAACATGATATTCACACAGGTGGCTTGTACATAATGACTAAAAGACAATCAGCATAATATTTTCTCAGATATGAATTGTTCAGAGTCCAATCCATGTACCGGTATGTACCACTGGCTGAACACTGGTATAGTATATCACATAATTAACATACCATAATTACATACACATGTAGTTCTCAAATTGTTATTCATAATAAAGATGATCAAAAAATCAAACATTTTCGCATTCAAATTTACCGAAACTGAAGCTGCTACATCATTGTATTCCACTCGGCAAAAGAATTACATGTATGTATCCACTGATCAAATTACATGTAAGCACAGTGGCTCGTATAACATGTTCAAATATTACAATCAATGTTATCCAAATACATCCTACTCGTTGAGTTGTTGTATTCCATTGAGCAAATACAGGTACAATAGTCAGTCACAAAGACTGATCAAACAAGGTCATAACCAATAGAAAAATGAGTCCACAATAAAATGGTAATAAACTTCCTTTAAAGTAGTCATCCAAAGATTCAAAAGTGTTTTGAATTGATGCAAAATTCATATCATTGCAAAGGGTAAGCCTTAATTAATGATAAATATAACAACTTCCTTCTTAAAAATATGTTTGGGGCCCGCAGTAATCATCTCTCAAAAATGTTAATTTTGAGATCCAGATTTTCTGCCTACAGCGGTCCTCCGTAGGGTGTCAAAATCTGTGACGTCACATGCGAGACACAGCTAGCCACAAAGCATTTTACGCCTTTCCATGATATCTATATGATTTTTCAGCAAATGATTCATGTTTTTCAAGAGAAAACCTTTCCATCCATATATATTTTGTCGATAATAAGCAGTTGTCGTGAATTTTCTTTGGGTGACTACTTTAAGCAGAATGTAATCCTTATATTCCACTAGTGAAATACACCTTGTATTCACTGATCAAAAGCAGTAAGTTACAGTAGGTATTAAAATAGAAG